GCAGCAGGGAGCTATTGTGGGTTTGTCTGTTGATATAGGGCCAGAGCTTCTGCTCCTGTCCTGAATTAGGTTCATTGACAATATTCCCCTCACCACCTCACTCTTTCCCAGACTTTATTTGAAGAGTTTTAAGGTTCCGTTTGATGCAAAGAGCAGAGATTTGGGAAATGAGTAGGAAAGTCAAGATCTGGGAGAATGAGTGAGAGGAAGACAAAGGAAAAGATTGTTAAAGTTTAGGACTTTAAATAAATTTTCAGTGGCCTCATAACATCTTAGCACTTTAGTTCATAACCCAGAAATATGTATTATATGTATATATTTGGTAAATATGTGTGTGTGTTCTATATATAATAAAACACATGGCATTAAATCTTTGGGTTTTTTTAGTAACACTTATAGTTTGCAAAGAAATAATAATATACAGTGTCTCTGGCTAAAATTACTAATATGAATTTAGCAATAATTATTAGAACATGCAGTCCTTTGGCAAATACACCATTAAACAAATTAGCAGACAGAGCCTCTACGATGGTTTATTTTGCATATTGAGTTGATGGTTCATATCAAGTAGCACAAATAATTGATGATGTGGGTAAAATAAGCTGCCAGGGCCAAATTCATGAAGAATCTTTCATCAGGCATTTTAAAAGAGAGATGACCATTTAGAAAGATTTAGGAAGCCTTGGAGGAAACTTGCATTGGATGATTAGATCTGACACTTTTATTTATTTATTTGGTTGCACTGGGTCTTAGTGGTAGCAGGCAGGCTCCTTAGTTGTTGCTTGCCAGCTCCTTAGTTGTGGCACATGGGTTCCTCCTTAGTTGTGCCAGGTGGGATCCTTTAGTTGTGGCTTGTGGGCTCCTTAGTTGTAGCATGCGAACTCTTGGTTGTGGCATGCGTGTGGGATCTAGTTCCCTGACTGGGGATTGAACATGGGCCCCCTGCATTGGGAATGTGGATTCTTAACCACTGTATCACCAGGGAAGTCCCAGATCTGACACTTTTCTTTAAGTTAGGGTCTATTTTCAAAATAATAGGAGATTTTATAATTTACCCCAGGCTGCTATTATTTTTGGTACTACACATATGACCTTTCAGGTTTGTTTTCTTTAATCAAATATCTGATTCTTCTTGGACAAAAGCCAAGGCTCTGTAAGTCTCCATCCCTTTAATTATAAAATGATCCTGTAAAAAGTGATGTTCTGTGATCATAAAAGGTCTTTCTCCAGATTTAAGAGCATCTAAAGAGCTGTGAATAGTAAACAAGTCTGTCTGCAAAGATCCATGGAGGGAGGTAATAAATTTATATTTTGAAAGTCAATAATTCTAGATGTCTGGGGTTTCATTGGGAAAAACTAAGATCACAACAGAGTTTGCTACAGAGAATCATGGAGGCAGAAGTAACAAAACAAGCAAATCAAAAGAGGGGCTCTCAAATTTAAAAGAACTATGTTTTGTCCTTTTCCTACATGTATTTACTTTTTATTACCTTTAAGATTTGCTGTTCTGAGTAAGCCAAACTGTGGGTCTTACTTTTCATTCTTGTCTTAGGCTTTCTAGGGCATTGGGTTTGTGCATGAATTTTGGTTATATTTACCAAAGGCAATATAGAGATATTCTGAGAAAATGTCTATGATGAAAAGTGTTATAACTCAGTAATTTCAGCACATATAATAATTTTCCCCCCAACCTGTAAGTTGCTTTAACCATGCCTATGCATCTGGCACATAGTAAATACTTTAAAAATGTTACTGAATAAATTAATTCTATTCAGAGAGAAGTCTCTCAGTATTTTAATAGAAAAGGCTTTCACAGAGACTGAGTCTGGGTATGAATTTATTCTGATTACTACTGCTCAGGTAAACAATTAGGGTGCTTGATTTATTTATTGTAAACAAGGCAAATATGTCCCAAGTTAACTCTATTTTAAAGAAATATTAATTCTTCTTTGTTTCAGCTCTTTTCCCTCTCTCCCACTGTTACCTAAAAACTGGGTTCACCTCTTGGTGGGTGTCAAGCCTAAAGACACAATCAAACCAAAGATTGGAAGAAGGAAGGATTTAATAATTGTGGCAAGTATGGAGAACAGTGGAGATCTTGCCCAAAGCAGTGTCTCTGCAAACAGCAAAATTGGGGACCTTTTAAGCTAAGGGTACATGCATATTCATGAAGGGGCTTGGACAATTGACAGAATCTGAGCTTTAGTTGATGGGAGTCATGAGGGTCAGAAAAGATCAGCATTATCCTCCCTTAGGTTCCAGTTGATCTGGTGGTTGAGCATTCAGGCTAATGTTTATCATTGAAAGAGAACTGGGAGTCTTTACAACTGATATGTTATCTTTGCTGTTGTTACTTCTTTTGCCTGATAACAGTCCTTTGTTCCCGCATTCTTGTGTTCCCTTAAGATCATTAATTACTGAGACCTGTTCAGGGGCAAGCATTGTGGCCAGACTTAGATCACAAAATGGCTTAGGCCTAAAATGCCTTCTCTTATGTCAAGAAAACCATGCCTGGTTCTCTTTCTCTGGGGATGCCCTACCTTATCTGCTTATGTATCTTTTATGTTTCCATTGTCTCTCTTCTGCATGTTCTTCTTCCCTTTTCCTTGTGTCTTCTTTTCCCTTCCATGGTTCCCCTTTTTCTTTCCTATTCTTTCCCTCCCCTTAATGTCTTCCTTTTTTTAATGTAGTCATAAAAGAGAACAGACAGCAGAAGCAAGAATTACAATCTTGCAGCCTGTGAAATGAAAACCACATTCACACAAAGATAGACAAAATGAAAAGGCAGAGGACTATGTACGAGATGAAGGAAGAAGATAAAACCCCAGAAAAACAACTAAATGAACTGGAGATGGGCAACCTTCCAGAAAAAGAATTCAGAATAATGATAGTGAAGATGACCCAGGACCTCAGAAAAAGAACGGAGGCAAAGATTGAGAATATGCAAGAAATGTTTAACAAAGACCTAGAAGAATTAAAGAACAAACAAACAGAGATGAACAATAAAATAATTGAAATGAAAAATACACTAGAAGGAATCAATAGCAGAATAACTGAGGCAGAAGAACAGATAAGTGACCTGGAAGACAGAATGGTGGAATTCACTGCCACAGAACAGAATAAAGAAAAAGAATGAAAAGAAATGAAGACAGCATAAGAAACCTCTGGGACAACATTAAGCACAACAACATTCACATTATAGGGGTCTGAGAAGGAGAAGAGAGAGAGAAAGGACCTGAGAAAATATTTGAAGAGATTATAGTCTAAAAATTCCCTAACATGGGAAAGGAAATAGCCACCCAAGTCCAGGAAGCACAGAGAGTCCCATACAGGATAAATCCAAGGAGAAACACACCGAGACACATAATAATAAAATTGGCAAACATTGAAGACAAAGAAAAATTATTGAAAGCAACAAGGGAAAAAATGACAAATAACATAAAAGGGAACTCCCATAATGTTAACAGCTGATTTCTCAGCAGAAACGCTGTAACCAGAAGGGAGTGGCAGGATATACTTAAAGTGATGAAAGGGAAGAACCTACAACCAGGATTACTCTACCCAGCAAAGATCTCATTCAGATTCGATGGAGACATCAAACGCTTTACAGACAAGCAAAAGCTAAGAGAATTCAGCACCACCAAACCAGCTCTACAACAAATGCTAAAGGAATGTCTCTAAGTGGGAAACACAAGAGAAGAAAAGGACCTACAGAAACAAACCCAAAGCAATTAAGAAAATGGTAATAGGTACACACATATTGATAATTACCTTAAATGTGAATGGATTAAAAGCTCCAACCAAAAGACACAGGCTTTCTGAATGGATACAAAAACAAGACCCATATATATACTGTCTACAAGAGACCCTCTTCAGACCTAGGGACACATACAGACTGAAAGTGAGGGAATGGAAAAAGATATCCCATGCAAATGGAAAGCAAAAGAAAGTTGGAGTAGCAATACTCATATCAGACAAAATAGACTTTAAAATAAAGATTATTACAAGAGACAAGGAAGGACACTACATAATGATCAAGGGATCGATCCAAGAAGAAGATATAACAATTGTAAATATTTATGCACCCAACATAGGAGCACCTCAATACATAAGGCAAATCCTAATAGGTATAAAAGAAGAAATTGACAGTAACACAGTAATAGTGGGGGACATTAACACCTCATTTACACCAACGGACAGATCATCCAGACAGAAAATTAATTAGGAAACAGAAGTTTTAAATGACACAATAGACCAGATAGATTTAATTGATATTTATAGGATGTTCCATCCGAAAACAGCAGATTACACTTTCTTCTCAAGTGCACATGGAACACTCTCCAGGATAGATCACATCTTGGGTCACAAATCAACCCTTGGTAAATTTAAGAAAATTGAAATCATATCAAGCATCTTTCCCAACCACAATGCTATGAGATTAGAAATCAATCACATGGATAAAAACATAAAAAGCACAAGCACATGGAGGCTAAACAATACGTTACTAAATAACCAAGAGATCACTGAGGAAATCAAAGAGGAAATCAAAAAATACCTAGAGACAAATAACAATGAAAACATGACAATCCAAAACCGATGGGATGCAGCAAAAGCAGTTCTAAGAGGGAAGTTTATAGCAATACAAGCCTACCTCAAGAAACAAGAAAAATCTCTAATAAACAATCTAACTTTACACCTAAAGGAACTAGAGAAAGAAGAACAAACAAAACCCAAAGTTCACAGAATGAAAGATATCATAAAGATCACAGCAGAAATAAATGAAGTAGAAACAAAGAAAACAATAGCAAAGATCAATCAAACTAAAAGATGGTTCTTTGAGAAGATAAACCAAATGATAAACACTTAGCCAGACACATCAAGAAAAAAAGGGAGAGGATGCAAATCAATAAAATTTGAAATGAAAAAGGGAAGATATGACAGACACTGTAGAAATACAAAGCATCATGAGACTGCTACAAGCAACTTTATGCCAATAAAATGGACAACCACGAAGAAATGGACAAATTCTCAGAAACGTACAACCTTCCAAGACTGAACCATGAAGAAATAGAAAATATGAACAGACCAGTAAGTAATGAAATTGAAATTGTGATTAAGTCTTCCAAAAAAATTCCAGCACCAGATGGTTTCACATATGAATTCTATCAAGCATTTAGAGAAGAGCTAACACCCATCTTTCTCAAACTCTTCCAAAAAATTGCAGAGCAAGGCAGACTCCTAAACTCATTCTATGAGGCCACAATTGCGCTGATACCAGAACTAGACAATGATACAGAAAAAGAAAATTACCAACCAATATTACTGATGAATATGGATACAAAACTCCTCAACAAAATACTAGCAAACAGAATCCAACAACACATTAAAAGGATTATACACCATGATCAAGTGAGATTTATCCCAGGGATGCAAGGATTCTCCAATATATGCAAATCAATCAATGTGATACACCATATTAAGAAATTGAAGAATAAAAACCGTATGATCATCTCAATAGATTCAGAAAAATCTTTTGACAAAATTTCACACCCATTTATGGTAAAAACTCTCCAGAAAGTGGGCATAGAGGGAACGTACCTCAACATAATAAATGTCATATATGACAAACTAATAGCACACATCATTGTCAATGGTGAAAAACTGAAAGCTTTTCCTCTAAGATCAGGAAAAAGACAAGGATGTCCACTCTCACCACTATTATTCATTACAGTTTTGGAAGTCCTAGCCATGGCAATCAGAGAAGAAAAAGAAATAAAATGAATACAAATTGGAAAAGAAGAAATAAAACTGTTTCTGTTTGCAGATGACATGATACTATACATAGATAATCTTAAAGATGCCACCAGAAAACTACCAGAGCTAATCAATGAATTTTGTAAAGTTGAAGAATATAAAATTAATGCACAGAAATCTCTTGCAATCTTATATACTAAGAGTGAAAGACCAGAAAGAGAAATTAAGGAAACAATCCCATCACCACTGCAACAAAAAGAATAAAATACCTAGGAATAAACCTACCTAAGGAGATAAGAGACCTGTACTCAGAAAACTATGACACTGATGAAAGAAATTAAAGGTGATACAAACAGATGGAGAGATATACCATGTCCTTGGATTGGAAGAATCAATATTGTGAAAATGTATATACTACCCAAAGCAATCTACAGATTCAGTGCAATCCCTATCAAATTACCAATGGCATGTTTTACAGAACAAGGGCAAAAATTTCACAATTTGTATGGAAACACAGAAGAGCCCGAATAAAAAAAAACAATCTTGAGGGAAGAAAGCAGAACTGCAGGAATCAGACTCCCTGGCTTCAGACTATACTACAAAGCTACAGTAATCAAGACAATATGGTACTGGCACAAAAACAGAAATATAGATCAATGGAACCGGATAGAAAGTCCAGAGATAAACCCATACACCTATGGTCAACTAATCTATGACAAAAGAGGCAAGGATATACAATAGAGAAAAGACAGTCTCTTCAATAAGTGGTGCTGGGAAAACTGGACAGCTACATGTAAAAGAATGAAATTAGAACACTCCCTAACACCATATACAAAAATAAACTCAAAATGAATTAAAGACCTAAATGTAAGACTGGACACTATAAAGCTCTTAGAGGAAAACATAGGAAGAATACTCCTTGACATAAATCACAGCAAGATCTCTTTTGACCCACCTCCTAGAGTGACGGAAATTTAAAAAAATTTAAAAATGGTACCTAATTATACTTAAAAGTTTTTGCACAACAAAGGAAACTCTAAACAACATGAAAAGACAACCCTCAGAATAGAAGAAAATATTTGCAGATGAATCAACGGACAAAAGATTAATCTCCAAAATATATAAACAGCTCATGTAGGTCCATATTAAGAAAAAAACAACAACAAGCCAGTCAAAAAATGGGCAGAAGACCTAAATAGACATTTCTCCAAAGAAGGCATACAGATGGCCAAGAAGCACATGAATATATGCTCAACATCACTAATTATTAGAGAAATGCAAATGAAAACTACAATGAAGTATCACCTCACACCAGTTAGAATGAACACCATCAGAAAATCTACAAACAACAAATGCTGGAGAGGGTGTGGAGAAAAGGGAACCCTCATATACTGTTGGTGGGAATGTAAATTGATACAGCCACTATGGAGAACAGTATGGAAAAAAACTTAAAGTAGAATTACCATATGATCCAGCAATCCTTGTACTCAGCATATACTCAGAGAAAACCATAATTCAAAAAGACACATGCACCTCAATGTCCATTGCAGCACTATTTACAATAGCCAGGTCATGGAAGCAACCTAAATGCCCATTGACAGATGAATGGATAAAGAAGATGTGGTACATATGTACAATGGAATATTACTCAGCCATAAAAAGGAATGAAATTGGGTCATTAATAGAGACATGGATGGATGTAGAGACTGTCATACAGAGTAAAGTAAGTCAGAAAGAGAGAAACAAATATCATATATTAATGCATGTATGTGGAATCTAGAAAAATGGTACAGATGAACTGGTTTGCAAGGCAGAAATAGAGACAGAGTTGTAGAGAACAAATGTATGGACACTAAGGGGGAAAGTTGGGGGTGGTGGTGGTTGGATGAATTGGGAGATGGTGATTCACATATATACACTAATATGTGTAAAATAGATAACTAATAAGAACTTGCTGTATAAAAAATAAAATGAATAAAATTCAAATAAAAAAGAAGGGAAGGAAAAAGATAATTAAAAGGTAGAGAAATTAATTTTACTGACCTTATAATTCTGCCCAGGATTATAAAAAATAAATAAATAGTCATAAAACAAAGTAGATATTTTTAATATTAAAGTTTAATTTCTTCTAACGTACATTAGTTTTACATTTTGCAAACAAAATGCCTATATGATGCTTCCTTAGTCTTTAAAAAAGTCCATTTCCCATTTTGATTATTTCCTATTTGAATCATTCAAAGTTTTCCAAAGATACAAATATCTTGTCAGAATGGAAGTTACTAGCCATTATATGTTTTGTGGAGAAGTACTCTAATTTCATACATTTAAAATTACTATTTTGAAAGATTGTATGGTGGTTCCTAAACTCCAGAAAGATATTAGATTTAGAGAATAATAAGCTTAAATAACAAAGTTTCCAAGCTACTTTGTAATTAGAACAATAACAAATACTTTCCTTGGCATCAACTCACTACTTTTGTAGTAAATCAATTGTAAGTGAGTAAATCCATCGTTGGTTGGAAAGAAAGATTAGCATATCACTTTCTATAGTTCTTTTCAGTAAACAGGTGGATGGAAAAAAAGAGAAAGGAATAGATGTGAGTGGGAGATGAGAAACGACAGTTCCTCCAGGATGAGACAAGAAATATGGAGTATGTCCTTAGGTGCACTGAAGACTTATGTTTAACTAGGTTCCTCCTCTAGCAGCAGGCCCATACCTACACAACCCATCATCTTCCCAGGAGCTCAATAACCACCTGGGTCTCACTTGATGAGAAGGATGAAGAAGACAATCCAGTTCCTGTGGAGACCATCAGCAGGATAATGCCTTGTCATTGAATTCATCAGTCAGAGAGTCGGGGCGTCACATATGATCATCCATAAGATATTCCTTCATGACAGATGAGATGAGAATTCAGCACCTAAGACTCCAATCATAGCAAATTCTGTGGAGGGACACAGCATAACTCTCTCTTTTTCCATGCCGCCATCTGAGGCTAGATAGGAAATATCATTTGCTCTCTTAGTAGAAATCTACTTTAATTAAGAGTCTATCTTCCTCAAACAGTCTTCCCTTGGGTTTCATGACACCTCATTTTCTCCATTTTTCTCTTAGTATTCTTTATGATTTATAAATACATTCATTATCTAGCTTATATTAATTTTTATTTCATATGGTTCAGTGGTCATTCATTAAGATACATTTTTTCTCCATCAGATATTTGATGAACTTCATTTATATTAAATTAATTCAAGGATACAGAAGACAATGGGATGAAGGAAATAAAACTAGTGTTGGGTGGGGCTGGGGTCCAGAAGTGGTTCAAGTTGATGCTGATGAACCTAAGTATTTCAATGAAATAAAAACTGAAGTTTTATTTGAGACCTATGAAATATTCCTTGATATAGTGCTGTCTGTTTTGAAAGAGGAAAATGTTTCAAAGGCAAAACATTTAGAAAGAAAACATTGTGTTTTCACATGCTGATATCATCCTAGGAAAGTAAAACGCAAATGACTACAAAGGATTAAAATCTGAAGACCAGATACAGCATTTATCTGTTTGGACTAGGTAAACATGAGCCAAAGAGCAATATTGCTACATGATTTTGCCTGGGAGTGATTAAATTGGAGTGCTCTGTGACTTCTGAATTATGATTATTTACTTGGTCTTTATTTTTGTCTGCAGAGGGCCAGGTTGCTATTCCCTTTCTTGGTGAATTACTCAAATACTCTTGAGATCTTCCTAGACCTCTTTCTTGCTCCATAATAAAAACTGTTGTTCTTACACAAATTACAGCTTTAAGGCATAGATATATTGGAATACAAGAGATGGACGTAGCTTGCAGAAGTGATTTATTAGATGGAGCAACCCTTAAATATTTGAATGGTTGTAATTTGAGAGATTTGTAATCCAGTTAGCATTCATTATGTGGTTATTATGTGGCAGGTGTCGTGCTCAGGCCTCCAAACAAATCGCCCCATTTAAATTCAAATCAACATTATGATGTAGACACTATTGACTATATTATCATATTATCTCTGTTTTTCAGATGGAGAAATCCAGTCCACAGCAGTTCAGTAATTTTCCTGAGGACACACAGATACTGAAACATGGGGCCAGGATATGAACCTGTTATTCTGACCCAGGGCACTGATGAAAACACTCCAGCTCATCACTTCTTTGCTTTGTATACCTTTGGCCAAGACAAGAAACAGTGACCAATGGAAGCCACAGCAAGGCAGATGCAGGCTGAATAAAAAGAACTTTCTAATGATGAGATCTATACAAAGTAGAATGGAGTGCTTTGGAAATGATTGCTGCCTCCTTGGTTTTGTTCAACTGGAGATGGAATGAAGGCTTTGTGGCAATGTTGCAGTGGATATTTTTACTTCATGACAAAGTTAAACTATTTTTATTTTTTTTCCTTCTTGTCCTAGAGTCTATGATACTATGAAAAAATTTCATGTGGATATGTCTACTCCTAACTTACCAGCAAGAGTAGCTGTCTCTGCCTCTTAAATTTCCTTTCACAAAATGCCTCCACTGCTCACGTTGACTGGATCTTTTCCTCAATTTCCTTTACAAAGATCTGTATTAGATTAGAAATGGAGTCTGAGCATGGAAGAGGAATGCTAATGAAATTCAAAGTATGAAAAGAAGATGGAGAAAAAGAAGACCAAATGCAGAAAAATAAAAGAAAGAATGGCTAAGCCTCTCCTCTTTCTAAGTTAGTGGTTGAAAATTTCTTCTGAATTTCTTAATGAAAATGGGGTATGTAAGTACAGATACTCCTTAGTTTATAAACATATTATCTTTCAAAAAGCTCTTTCTTAAGTCTGTTTTTTTTTTTAAGCTCAAATGGCCTTAAGAAACTGATTAAGTCAGGTTCAAGTCCAGAATATATTTTTATAAAATTGGTTAGTAAATGAGTTCAAAGTGTTACAATTTGCATATTCCATCCCAATGATGTCTTTCTTATTAGGGATCCTTTTACAAAACTGGTCAATATTGAGCATTTTCCTGCTAACAATAATCTACACACACTACTTGAACCCTTGATACCAGATACCAATTATACTTGTGATAAAATTTTTATCAATGGTATTTTACCTGATCAGGTTTTAATTTCTCAAACTCCTATATTTCATCTGATTTAACAGTAGGTTTTTCCTTTTGTGAATTGCTACCTCTTGCTTGTTATCAATTGCCTGGACACATAATTTTTCATAAGTGATATGATTTTCTTTATATCCTTTAGAAATATTCTTACAATTGAAACACTCAGCCAACATGTCTGTAAAATATTTTTCATTTCCTTATCACTTTCATTTAAAAATATGTCTATTTTTATCATAATTATACATCACTTTTTACTGGCATTTTTAAGTCTCCCTTTTTTTTTTTTTTACTTTATTGGGAAAAAAAATGGTGTATAAGTCAAGATAGTTTATGCTGAGGTAACAAAAAATACCAAAATCTCAATGGCTTAATACAACTAAAGTTTATTTAGGTGCTTGCGTTACATGTCCATTTTGGGTCAGTGGTGGAGCTGGGCGTTCTGCCCCGGCAAGTCATTCCTCACTATCCTGAAATGCTGGCGCCTTTTCAGTGTACTACTTCAGAGTTTTTGAAATGGAGCAGGACCCTATGGGGCCTTCCCAGGACAGACACAACACATACACATCCCATTTCCTCTGCTTGCCTTTTATCTGTAGAGAAATTTTAGCTGAAGTTTAAACTTAATCAGAGAAGTGAGAAAATGCAGAAGCAAAGGAAAACAGTCAAACAAGACCAAATAAATAATAGTTTAGTCATTAAACATAGTCAAGGACGTTTAGTTCCTCCTCAAGGGCTACAGATAATATTCTGAGCCATATTATTTTAGCTGTTTTGTAGATGCTGAAACCCTCACTGGGTGGAAGAAGTTAACTACATGATGACCAGACTGTAGCCATGACATAAGCTTCCACAATTCTGAGAACTGGCCTCAAGGAAATGGGAACAAACTGACCCCGGAACTGAAGATTAACTGTATTTAAAACAATCAAGATGACACTGATCAGACCATAGCATGACCAATTTCAAGATGATTGTCAGAGCTGACTGTGCTGTTCTGCTTGCAGCCCCCTTCCTCCACCTATACACCCCTGAAACTCTGCTTTAAAAACTTTTTCCCACTGATCAGCAGTGGGGAATTGACCTTTGGACATGAGTCCATCTTATCCCCTGGTTCCTGAATAAAGCAACCTTTCCTTTCTACCAACATTTACCTCTTGAGTATTGGCTTCTGAGCAGCAAGCAGCTGGACCAGAGTTCAGTAACATTTTCAGCTTCAGAGGAAAACGGGGTAAGAGCTGCGTATTGGAAATTAAATGCTTCCTCCCCAAATGGCATGAGTTACTTCCACTCACATTTTATTGGCCAAGTCAGGGCACATCACCTCTCTTAACTTCCAGGAGGTGGGGAAGCACAACCTTTTGCGTACTTATAAATAAAGAACAGGCTATTGGTAAACATTGGTGGTACACTGGGATTTTAGTTTTCTTAAGCACTCTTAAATCTAAATCATGTAACATATACCCTAACAGGTTTGTATGCAAGTTTACAGCTGAGATTAAAATGACCACCCTTGCAATCTGTCGATGTGGGCAGAGTTGATGTACTTTGTTCTAGATGGAGACTTTGTGTATCTGTGAGGGTATTTTAGTTGAAAATACATAGATTTCAGTGACACAAGGCTGGCATGAACTCCTCTGCCTGACGATCAGGGGTTTCCTATGATGCAGGTCTCTTTCAGTAGAGCTGGTTGGGTCAACAGTATTACAGAGAAATTTCTGAGCTGCTTGCTGGGTTCCAAGAACTATGAATTGAGACCCCTCTGTAAAGGTGCTAGGGAAGCAATGAAGAAGATATTACTAATTTTACTAAAATAAGAATTATTTTTATAAAAGACATTAGCCCATGACATAACATTACATTCTTGGCCATAGTCTCCACATTAAAAACAGAAATGGCACAATCTTACAAACCATTGTCCAGGGTTGGGCCAAAATGGTGTTTACAGAGCCTTCAAGGTCTCTGAAAACTTTCTCTAAATGAGTTTATTTCAGAAACTTAAATTTAGACATTAGTTATAGCCCTTCACCCTTTTCCCAAGAATTCAGATGCTCTCTTTGTACAATTTTAAAACTCTAACTAGCTGAAGATTGTTAAAAGTGAACAAGTGTTGTCTTGGAGTCAAGATGGTGGTATGGGAAGATGCAGAGTTTGTGTCTCCCCACAACTAATGCAACTGACAGACACTGGTGGGGGACCCCAATGCCCAAGGAGATGGGAAGAACCCCCAAGCGAACTGGTAAGAGGTGGGGGGACTGAGGGGGGAGGAGAAGTGGATGCCAGACAGGACTGGCACCCCTGAGGGGTGGCTGAGAAGGGAGAGGGTTTCCCACACCTGGAGAGACCGTCAGGGCCTCAGATCAGGGTGGGGGAGCAGACCCAGTGTTTCCCTTGCCCAATCAGCCAGGGAAGTCTGCTCAGGTCTCAGGCTGGGTCCTATGCCATCAGAGGTCCCCTCGGGGCTGGGTTTGCCCTGGGGGTGAAGGAGGGAGTCCGGGAGAGAACAGGAGAGGCAGGCAGGAGGGCCCCTCCAGTACCAGAGGAGGGGGAAAGGAGCGGAGGGTGTTTGCCCTGTCCAATCAGGCACGGGGAGCCTGCTGAGCTCGAAGTCTAGTCCCCTGCCCTCCAAAGCCCCCTATAGGCCGCATGGGCCCTGGGGTCATAGGAGGGAGGCTGGGGAAATCAAGAGAGACAGGTGGGAGTGGACCTACAGGACCAGAGGAGCAGGAGAGGAGCAGAGGGCATTTGCTCCGCCCACTAGAGCCCAGAAAGCCTGCTGGGCTCCCAGGTGGGGTCCCCAACCCTCTGAAACCAGAGGCAGAAGCCACGCCTGGGCTCCTACTGTTCTGTTGAGCCTAAGCCCCACCCCCAAAAACCCCCCACCTTTTCCAGCACTGTGGGTCCTGAGCATTGGCCCTGCCCACTGTCCAAACATCACCCCTGCTTAGGTCCTGTCCTGCACAGCCAAGGCCTTTTCCACCTTTTTTTTTTTTCTCCTCCTCTTTTTTATTATTGTGGTCCGTTTTATCTTCTGGCTGTTGTTTCATCTATATTTTTATTTTTATATTTTTTCTAACATAGCTGTTAGTTGGTTTCCTAGTTTAATTTTATTTTTTACTTTACTATTCTCTCTTTTTTTTGGTTTTTGCCACTCCACGCAGCTTGCAGGATCTTGGTTCACGAGCCAGGGGTCAGGCCAAAACTCCTGCAGTGGGAGCTCTGAGTCCAAACCACTGGACTAACAGAGAACCTCAGACCCCAGGGAATATTCATCAGAGTGAGGGCTCCCAGATGTCCTCATCTTAGCACCAAGACCCAGGTCTATCCAACAGCTTACAAACTCCAGTGTTGGAAGCCTCAGGCCAAACAACCAGTAAGACAGGAACACAGTCTCCAAAATAAAAAAAAATTAAAAAATAAAATGAGAGAACAAAAAGATATGCCACAGATGAAGAAGCAAGGTAAAACTGACAAGACCAAATATAGGAAGACGAAATAGATAATATACCTGAAAAATAGTGCAGAGTAATGATAGTAAAGATGATCCAGAATCTCGGAAATAGAATGGAGGCACAGAATGAGAAAATACAAGAAATGTTTAACAGAGATCTAGAATAACTAAAGAACAAATAAACAGAGATGAACAACACAATAACTGAAATGAAAAATATACTAGAAGGAATCAATAACAGAATAACTGAGGCAGAAGAACGAATAAGTGAGCTGGAAGACAAAATGGTGGAAATAACTGCTGAGGAGCAGAATAAAGAAAAATGAATGAAAAGAATTGAAGACAATCTCAGAGATCTCTGGAACAACACTAAATGCATCAACATTCAAGTTATAGGGGTCCCACAAGAATAAGAGAAAAAGAAAGGGTCTGAGAAAATATTTGAAGAGATTATAGTGGAAAACTTCCCTAACATGGGAAAGGAAATAGTGACCCAAGTTCAAGAAGAACAGAGTCCCATACAGGATAAAACCTAGGAGAAACACACCAAGACACATATTAATCAAACTAACAAAAATAAATTTAAAGAAAAAATGTTAAAAGCAGCAAGGGAAAAACAAAAAATAACATACAAAGGAATCCCCATAAGGTTATCAGCTGATTTTTCAGCAGAAACTCTGCAGGCCAGAAGCGAGTGGCAGGATATAATAAAAGTGATGAAAGAGAAAGACCTACAACCAAGATTACTGTACCCAGCAAGGATCTCATTCAGATTTGATGGAGAAATCAAAAGCTTTCAGACAAGCAAAAGCTAAGAGAATTCAGCACCACCAAACCAGCTTTAAAACAAATGCTAAAGAAACTTCTCTAGGCAGAAAACACAAGAGAAGAAAATGACCCACAAAAACAAACCCCAAACAATTAAGAAAATGCTAATAGGAACATACATATTAAAAATAACCTTGAATGTAAATGGATTAAATGCTCCAACCAAAAGATAAGGACTAGATGAATGGATACAAAACAAGACCCATATATATGCTGTCTACAAGAGACCCACTTCATACCTAGGGACACATACAGACTGAAAGTGAAGGAATGGAAAAAGGTGTTCCATGCAAATGGAAATCGAAAGCTGGAGTAGCAACACTCATATCAGATGAAATAGAATTTAAAATAAAGACTGTTACAAGAGACAAGGAAGGACACTACATAATGATCAAGGGATCAATCCAAGAAGAGGATATAACAATTATAAATGCTTATGCACCCAACATAGGAGCATCTCAATACATAAGACAAATGCTAACAATCATGAAAGGGGAAATCGACAGTAACACAAAAATACGGGAATTTAACATCCCACTTACACCAACGGACAGATCATCCAAACAGAAAATAAATAAGGAAACACAAGCTTTAAATGACACAATAGACCAGATAGATCTAATTGATATTTATAGAACATTCCACACAAAAGTGGGAAAATACACTTTCTTCTCAAGTGAACACAGAACATTATCTAGGATAGATCACATCTTGGGTCACAAATCAAGCCTTGGAAAATTTAAGAAAATTGAAATCATAACAAACATCTTTTCTGACCACAACACTAAGAGATTGGAAATCAGTTACAGGAAAAAACTATAAAAACCACAAATAATGGAGGCTAAACAGTGTGCTACTAAATAACCAAGAGACCACTGAAGAAATCAAAGAAGAAATAAGAGAAATACACAGAAACAAATGACAATGAAAACACAACAACCCAAAACCTATGGGATGCAGCAAAAGCAATTCTAGGAGGAAAGTTTATAGCAATTCAATCTCACCTCAAGAAACACAAAATATCTCAAATAAACAATCTAACCCTACACCTAAAGAAACTAGAGAAAGAAGAACAAAGAATACCAAAAGTCCATAGAAGGAAAGAAATCATAAAGATCAGAGCAGAAATAAGTGAAATAGAAACAAAGAAAACAATAGCAATGATCAATAAAACTAAAAGCTGGCTCTTTGAGAAGATAAACAAAATTGATAAACCCTTCACCAGACGCCTCAAGAAAAAAAGGGAGAGGGCAGAAATCAATTAAATTAGAAATGAAAAAGGAGAAATCACAACTAACACCACAGAAATACAAAGGACTCTAAAAGACTACTACAAAACAATTATATGATGATAAAATGGACAACCACAAAGAAATGGACAAATTCTTGGAAGGTACAATTTTCCAAGACTGAACGAGGAAGAATTAGAAAATATAAACAGATTTTCGTAAGTAATGAAAGTGAAACTGTTATTAGAAATCTTTAAACAAGCAAAACTCCAGACAAGATGGCTTTACAGGCGAGTACTACCAAACATTTAGAGAAGAGCTAACACTGATCCTTCTCAAACTCTTCCAAAAAATTGTAGAGGGAGGAACACTCCCAAATTCATTCTATGAAGCTACCATCACCCTGATATCAAAACCAGAAAAAGATATCACAAAAAAAGAAAATGATAGACCAATATCACTGATGAACATAGATGCAAAAATCCTAAACAAAACACTAATAAACAGAATCCAACAACATATTACAAGGATCATACACCATGATCAAGTGGGATTTATCCCAGGGATGCAAGGATTCTTCAATATATGCAAATCAATCAATGTGGTACACCATATTGACAAATTAAGGAATAAAAACCATATGATGATCTCAATAGACTCAGAAAAAGCTTTTGACAAAATTCAGCACTGGTTTATGATAAAAAATCTCCAGAAGATGGGCATAGAGGGAATATACCTCAACATGATAAAGGCCATACATGACAAACCCACAGCAAACATCATATTCAATGGTGAAAAACTGAAAGCATTTCCACTAAGATCAGAAACAAGACAAGGAGGTCTACTCTCACCACCCTTATTCAACATAGTTTTGGAAGTCCTAGCCACGGCAATCAGAGGAGAAAAAGAAATAAAAGCAATACACACTGGAAAAGAAGAAGTAAAATTGTCACTGTTTACAGATGACATACTATACTTAGAAAATCCTAAAGATGCCACCAGAAAACGACTAGAACTAATCAATTAATTTGGTAAGGTTGCAGGATATAAAATTAATGCACAGAAATCCCTGGCATTCCTATACAGTAACAACTAAAAATCAGAAAGAGATATTAAGCAAAAAATCCCATTTACCATTGCAACAAAAAGAATAAAATACCTAGGAAAAAACCTACCTAAGGTGGCTAAAGACTTGTACTCAGAAAATTATAAAACACTGATGAAAGAAATCAAAGGTAACATAAACAGCTGGAGAGATATACCATGTACTTGGATTGGAAGAATCAACATTGTGAAAATAATTATACTACCCAAAGCAATCTACAGATTCAATGCAATCCCTATCAAACTACCATTGGCATCCTTCACAGAATTAGAACAAAAAATTTTACAATTCGTATGGCAACACAAGAGATCCTGAACAGCCAAAGCAATCTTGCGAAAGAAAAACAGAGCTGGAGGAAGCAGGCTCCCTGACTTCAGACTACACTACAAAGCTACAGTAATCAAGACAGTATGGTACTGGCACAAAACAGAAATATAGATCAATGGTACAGGATAGAAAGCCCAGAGATAAACTGACGCACATACAGCCACCTAATTTATGACAAAGGAGGCAAGAACATACAATGGAGAAAAGACAGTCTCTTCAATAAGTGGTGTTGGGAAAACTGGACAGCTACTTGTAAAAGAATGAAATTAGAACACTCCCTAACACCATACACAAAAATAAACTCAAAATGGATTAGAGACCTAAATGTAAGACCGGACACTATAAAACTCCTAGAGAAAAACATAGAAAGAACACTCTTTGACATAATCACAGCAAGATCTCTTTTGACCCACCTCCTAGAGTAATAGAAATAAAAACAAAATAAACAAATGGGACCTAATGAAACTTAAAAGCTTTTGCACAGCAAAGGGTACCATACACAAGATGAAAAGACAGCATTCAGAGTGGGAGAAAATATTTGCAAATAAAACAAGGAACAAAGGATTAATCTCCAAAATATACAAACAGCTCATGGAACTCAATATCAAAAAAAACCAAACAATTCAATTAAAAAATGGCCAGAAGACCTAAATAGACATTTCTCCAAAGGAGACATACAGATGGCAAAGAGACACATGAAAAGATGCTCAACATCACTAATTATTAGAGAACTGCAAATCAAAATTACAATGAGATATCACTTCACACCAGTCAGAATGGCCATTATCAAAAATTCTAGAAACAATAAATGCTGGAAAGGGTGTGGTGAAAAGGGAACTCTCCTGCACTGTTGGTGGGAATGTAAATTGATACAACCACTATGGAGAACAGAATGGAGGTTCCTTAATAAACTAAAAATAGAACTACCATATGACCCAGCAATCCCACTATTGGGCTTGTACCCTGAGAAAACCATAATTCAAAAAGAAATTTGTACCACAGTGTTCATTGCAGCACTATTTACAATAGCCAGGACATGGAACCAACTTAAATGTCCATTGACAGATGAATGGATAAAGAAGATGTGGCACATATATACAATGGAATATTACTCAACCATAAAAAGAAGCAAAACTGAGTTATTTGTAGTGAGGTGGATGGACCCAGAGTCTGTCATACAGAGTGAAATAACTTAGAAAGAGAAAAACAAATAGTGTATGCTAACACATATATACGGAATCTAAAAAAAAAAAAAAAAAGGTACTGGTTAACCTCGTGGCAGGGCAGGAATAAAGACATAGACATAGAGAATGGACTTGAGGAGGCGGTGAGGAGGGGGAAGCTGGGGGAAAGTGAGAGTGGCATGGACATCTATACAGTACCAATAGTTAGGTAGTGGGAAGCAACCGCATAGCACTGGGAGATCAGCTTGGTGACCTAGAGAGGTAGGATAGGGAAGGTGGGAGGGAGGCTCAAGAGGGAAGGGATAGGGGGATACATGTATGCATATGGTTGATTCTCTTTGTTGTACAACAGAAACTAACACAGTATTGTGAAGGAATTATACTCAAATAAAAATCTATTAAAAAAAAAAGTCAACAAGTGTTCACCCTTAGAAAGAAGCTACCTGACTTTTATTTCTGCAGAGATTTGAATATTGCTTCCCAAGTCTTTAAACAACAACAGGGGTGACTAATTAGGATCAACCTCGCCTCCTGTCTTCCCTCTCTTCCGTTTTCTCAGTTCCTCTTTTTCTCTCTCTCATTTGCTTGCTCTCACTTTCTGCCTCTCTTTCCCTCAGGCTACCTTTCTCTCTCTTTTTATTTATGTTGTCTTCTCTTTATTTTTTCTTTCATTCTCTGAATTAAAAAGAGATAAATAGTTCTTTCTGAAATGTTTTGCTTAGCAGCCTAGCCCCTGATCTGGTATGATCTGACTAATCTCTTGGAGGATGGCTTAAGCAGTATAGAAGTATATGGAAGGCACTCAAATGAAATTGGTCCTGTCTTTAGACAATGATTAAATGTTTTGTAATTTGAAAAAAAATGGAAATGTAAGCAGTAATTCATTAATGTTCAATGTTTCTTTTTTCTTCCTTTAAAATTCTTGTTTCTTGGGAAGAATACAAGAAATAATTTTGTACTGTTGAATAAATCCTGGTCGGAGGAACACTTAGTATGATGGGTAATCATCTATGTTAATCGGATGAAACTTTGTAAACTCCTCCGACAAGGTTACTGTGGCATCTTTTCTGACTTAGGGGGCCCTTTTCTATGCCATAGCTTCATTCTCAACATAGTCCTCTAAACTTCCTAATCTTTCTGTCATACAATAAATCTCACTGAAGGTGTAACTATGTAATTTCCTAAAACATTTTTTTTTCTGAAGTGATAGAAATAATTTCTGTTCACTAAAAGGAAGTAAGTACATTTTTAAAGAGAAAAGATGTACAGCTACTAAACAGCCCAACTGTATTCAAAATAATTCTAGCACTTTTCCACCAGATGGCACCCCCTTTTTGAACTTTGGCAAGAGATTCTGAAGGCTGAGGAAAGCCTCTCTCATTTTAGAAATGGGGTTGGTTCTGGAAAAGATTTTCAGTCAGCGAAATTGAATTAATAAAAAATAATACTTAGACTTTTCTAAGATGCTTCCACATAAAATGCATGATTAACTTAATAAATTAAGTTTATTAAATTAATTTATTAAATTAAATTAATATATTTAATTTGGTAAAATTAAATCTATGTAAATAAAGCCAATCCCAGTTTAACCTGAACTCCCCAGGACTTAATTTCCATCAAGTTTTAATTTTCATATGATCTTTCTAAATGACTCTCATTTTGAGTGCCTCCTTTAACTTTTAAAAAAGCACAGCAACCGAGTATATTTAGCAATTGAGTGTCCCAAATGAAGACTTGACTTAATTTATAAATCAACCATCCACCTGCCCATCAAAATTCCTAGGTAAACACTTTACCATTTTGTTCAAAACCATGGGATTGGTAGTGGGATCTTCCAAGTTAAACAATATGGGGCCAAGTCTACTGGCTGCACACTTCTTGTTTATGTATGTGGCTCTGTCTGAATCTCTGACTAAAGTCTAACACTATCTTTGTTGCTCTTCTATGGTGACCTTTTCAAGTGGATCAGGGCGTGAGATGCCTTCCCAGATGTCACCCCAACACAATCAGTCAGTGGAAAAGCATCCTATTTCAGTCTTGTATTCACTAAAGACATTACATTTTACTGAATAGGATCCAAATTGGATGATGTCCTTTGTTTTTGTTGGAGTTTTGCTCATTGATGATAAACAATCACGCTGAGAACTCAGGAACAGATCTTCATCATTTAGAGGGAACAAGAGCCAGTGAGAGAGATCTATCTAAAAATACACATCTGAGGCTTCAAGGCCAGGCTTCTTGTCCCTCTTGCTTCTCACATGTTGAAGACTGTCAGGGAGGTGGGAGGGGGCCCAGCACAAGATAGACTGAGTTAGATGGAACTAGAAAGGATTTTCAGAACTGATTTCTATGTCACTGACCTTATACTTGCTTAAAAATGAGATGTTCACATTTTCCCACACTCCCCTACATATGGATGCTCAGCTTGATAATATTTTTCTCATCTCTGAATTTGCTCAAGATCAAGGTAAAATTAGTATCTCACCTTATGAGATGAAATTTTAAAAAAGAGAAATGTTAGGTTTTAATAGTGGTATTCTTTCACTAACTATTAAGTTATTTATTTCTTCTAGTATAGTTCATATTTTAGACAAATGTCACATTATTTGATTTCTATAATGAAACTATCAATTATAATATTTGATAGGTTCAGGGAAGATGTATTTTTGATAAGGTATCTAAAATAATTCTTTAGGAACTGTTACTCGTTTCTGACATGATTGAGCATCTTA